AAATTCTTAGAGAGGCTCAGTCTAAGAGAAACTGCAGCCCTCTCTCTGCTATCCTTTTAAATCTAGCAGTTTCAATTTAGCGCTAAAATCCCGCCGATGATGTCATCGTGACGGCCTCCCGCGCATGTGCAGAAGCAGCCTGAAGCCGCGCATGCGCAGGAGCGGCATGAAGCCGCGACTGCCCACCTTGTCCTGCCCATACAATGCCGGACGAGGAGAGAGACGAGCACCGTGGGGGAGCTTCACTAACAGTCGGGACACCGGGACACAGCTCCATCCAGCCGATAAGTGGGCTCCAACCAGCCGTAGCGGCCATTTAGGTCAAAGAATAATATGGCAAGGGAAACATTGCCTAGACGTCCACCCTCCGGACTATCACCTCAGCAGAGTCCAGGATGATCACTTTCCCCAAGGGGACACCCTTGCTCGGGCCCGAGTCTTGGGGACTTCCCAGGGGAGAGAGGCTGAACTCCCCTGAGGCCAATTCTATAGAATGTTTAAGAACAAACAAACCTGTCCTAGGGGGAACAGGAACAAAAAAGACTGAAGTGCTAAATAGCAATCCCGTATTTGACAGCTGAAAATAGCAGAGAGGTAGCAGAGTGACTCACCTCTCTGCTATTCGTTTTGACAACTCGATAGCCCGATGTTTATGATACATTTCAGGCAAAGAGATACAAGAGATACAATGTATCTCTGTGCCTGAAATGTATCACTTCTGATCATCTAGGCAGGATCAAAGACCTTTAGTAGACATGTGCACCAGCAAAAAATTTGTTTAGTTTAGTTTAATTTTGATTCTGATTTTGCGTTATTTCATTTTTCGGAATTCGGGTCCGAAAGTCAATTTGTTTTGGAATTCGGATTCAGACTAAATTCGTTAGCGGTTATTCGTACAAAATTTTGTTTCTGTTTCTTTGTTGTTTCATTCGTTTGTTGCAGCAATGTGACATTTAAGAGGCAAAAAAGTTTTTTTTTCCTCAAATGTCACTTTGCTGCAATGAAAGTTCGTCAAACAAACGAAAGTTTGTACAGACTACCGCTAATGAATTTCGCAATCGGAAATTCGGATTTGTTTGCATTCGTTATATCTGTAGTTTGTATACATCCGAATCACCGAATTTACGACATTTTGTCCGAATTTCGATTCGGAACGAAACAAATCGCACATGTCTAACCTTTAGTGAGATTTGAATCTGACATGCTGTCAGGAGCAGTCTCTAAATTGTAGCTGTTCCTAAGTCTGGAGCAGCCTAATAGCCAAAAATTAAAAAAAGTTAGTTTATCAAGCAGTCATGGTGACTGATTGATATAAAGTTTTTATTTTACAAAGTGTAAAAAAATAAAATAAATTCTAAAACAAAATTATGAAAATAAAAATTATATATAAATATAGTTTGTATACTATAATTATTATAAAAAAATAATAATCAAAACTTGTGAAAAAAGTGTTGTGTTCTAGTTTTTTCCCCTCATTTTTTAATATTTTATTCAAACTAAGTGAGGCGTTAGGTACACGTTTTATATAAATATATGGCCCTATCTGTCCTCTAAAAAACAATATATATGTATAGTATGTGTGGGTACATTTAGTAAGAAAGTATATTACTGACGTGGAAGAATCACACAGCAAAAATGTAAAAAGTGTGTCAGTCATTTATGAACAGAAACTGAAAACTAGCTCAGTCATGAAGGGGTTAAACAAAATGCTTAGAGCACCATGGGAAAGGGGCACCACATATTTTTGTTTTCCTATCCCACTATCACACCCTTAACTCTCCCACGTTTAACCCCCCACTGACACACTCAACTTAAGTCAATTTTGTGAAATAGTTTTTTGATAGTTTACATAATTTAACATAATTGTGGGTACTGGTCTGGGGGATAACCTGGTAAAAACTGATTTTTTAAAATGTCTTATATCACCTTCAAAGCCTTAAAGTGTATCTAATCCCATTAAATTTTAAAATGTTGCAGCTTACCAGTGCTTAGATGTGATGGTTGCCATTTTGTTTCTTTTTGCAGGTTTTTTTTAACATTCATTTCTACCTGGTGATTGTGCCTGTAACACCTATGCTGCCTTATTTAGAGAACATTTCCCTCCTCCTCATTTCCATAACCTAAGGGGAGGTGTTCTATAGTCAACAAAGAGAAATGGCCAAGGCTGATAAAATTTTTGACACAGCACTGCAGATTTCTGGCACTGAATTTCTGGCATAATCAACAGGTTCTTTTTCCACTTATCAAAGAGATATAACAAGACACTTTCAATTGTATATTTCAAAGACCAAAGGGGATCAAATAAGATAAGTTTAGAATTTAGAATGAGTTAGCATTTACATATATTTTAATAGCTTTTTAGCCACTTTGTAAACGGTTGGCTGGGAGCTTCTTGGATGTAAGCGGGCATTTTAAACGTCCCCGCGCGCCCCGCTCGCCACTGGATCGCTTGTATAATGCGTGTTCCCCCCTCCCCCGCCTTGGCTGATCCAGAGCCCTACTGTGTCCTGGTGGGTTCGGGACCCGCAGGGCAGCTCTGTCACCAGAGATCAGTGGAAGATCATCACATTAGCTCACTCTGCTCTCCTCTACGTTCTCTGAATGCAGGAGTGATGTATATTACATCACTTCCGCATTCAGCTGTCATTCTCCGGCTTCTGTAGCTGTAGAGAAACAAGTGTAGCAGATCTCTGCTTCATCAGCTCCTTTGGGGGTCCCTAGGTGACATTCTGGGCCTTAGAGACTGCGAATGTCTCCATGAAGGGGACCTAACACATAGGGGGCTTGTTAGCCCCCTATGTGAAAGCAATAAAGTCAAGTGAAAAAAGTTTCCTTTTAAAGTGAAAGTTACAAAAAAAATGTAAAGTCACATAAAAAAACCACAACATTTTTTAAGTCCCCCGCCTCCACTTACAAACATGCGTCGGGTACGCCTACATGCGGAAATGAGGATTGCGCCCATTGCTCCACACATACACTGCGAACATCAGAGTAAGGGCAATAATTTTAGGGACATTCATCACTATTAACACTAAAATGATGATCTGTAAAAGCATCACCTATGGCCAATTTTAGGTATGGTATTTTGTTTGCAATTTCGTGGGCGCACGCAATTTTAAAGCTTAAAATGTTTGGTGTCTATTTACCCAACTTGACCCCATCTTTTATATTTTACCAAAAATGTATGTGGTTAGGAATACATTTTGTATAACATAACTTAGGGAAACAGTTTTTTTCCATTATATAGTAAAAAATTAAAACCCCAGTGGTGATTAAATACCACCAAAAGAAAGATCTACCTGTCCCAAAAAAATGGTATAAAATTATTTTAAGTACAGCGTTGCATGACCGAACATGACTGAATAAATGTCAAAGTACTGCAGCGCTGAATACTGAAAAATGGCCTGGCCAGGAAGGGAGTGCAAACACCTGTTTTTTTTTTTTTTTAGCATATACATCTGTATTAAATTTTCTCACAACCAATTACGTTGCAATTTATATACGGTAAATAGCAGCCACATACATGTCATAATGCATGGAGAGTATGCCAGTAATAACTAATACAAAGACCACTGATGGTGCAGAACCGGGGATAACAGTATATCCGGCATATATGCATGGAGAAAACACATCATGTAATGCAGCAATAACTAATGGCTTGGTTTTTAAGTGGTTAAACAATAGCGGGCCAACAGGGTAGCATTGTTGGACTGTGTTTAAGATCTAATTTGGCCTTAATCTGATCCTTGAACTGTATGGTAGGAGCTCAATTATACAATTATAATAGAAGTGGTAACCCCCCAGCCCTAAACCTTCCTTCCCAATCATACGTTCTTGTTTAAAAAAGGTTTTAATGATTTATTGTATTTGATGAAGCTGAAAGATGGTAAAGGTTTGGACTTCTATAGTTAGCTATAGCATTCTCTTTTCCTGAGCATGTATTTGCATACTAGTTGCCATTAAAAAGTTATTCTGGTAAAGAGCTGAAGCATATGCATACATGATATATTTTCACAAACTGTCAACCTTTTATATATAGTTATTTTATACATCAATACCTTCATATTTTATATTTAAGTCATCTTGACCTTTTGGCGTCATGCATTAAGTGGCTTTAAGCTGCCTCAGCATATAATACAATTTTTGCCAATACAGTACAAGTAAAATGCACAGAGAAGAACAGATGTGAAGTGGGCAATCTAGAATAAAAGAACTATAAGGATGCTCAAGTGCAATGTTTGATTACATGAATACTTATAACCTGAGCACCCAGCCATATTTTGTAGACAATTATGTATTTACAAAGAAAGCATTTTTATTATCTATTCACAAAACTGAGAATGACATATACACACAATCACATAAGCAATGCAATGTAGCATGGCAGACACAAACTGCGCCAAAATGTTTGCTGCACTACAATGTTTGTTTACTTTGAAGGTAGCATTAATCATAGAAATGAATGGAGAGCCTCACTCATATGCATCATACTACATTTGTGATAGCATACTTTGACACCTATGTTCCTAGGACCTATGCTTACCTACTGTCTGAGTAGCATTTTTCATATACTTTACTATTTGTTGATATAGTAATTTAAAATCCAAATCCACATCTTGGTTTTGTAGTTTAGTTTAGTTGTGTAAAACAAATACTTCAGCATACCATAAGAAAATGAAAGGCAAAGTTATATGAATACAAACAAAATTATGTTTCTGAAGTGTATGTGCAGTCAACATCCTGCACTTTAGAACTATTGTGTATTTATCTTAAAGCTTCTATTGCAAGAACAAAAACAGGATGCTTAACACCCATTCAACATTCATATGCATATAGCTTAAAGCTTTTTTTATTGTTAAATATAATGTTCTCCAAATATAGCTGTGAGAATCTGAGCATACAGAAAGATGCACTTAGGTAAGGTGAAAAGAAACAACAACAAGATGAAAGCACAAATTATTTCTGTCTAGAGAAGAATAATTAAATAATGGTGCACTCACCCTGACTTGACCCACAAAAGCATTCACTTCTTCCTCTTGGACTGAGAGATTTCTGGGCAAGTAAAGATCAAAGACTGGGTTGTTGTCATTCACATCCGTCACCAGCACATTAACAGTTGCAGTTGATGTCTGCAAGAATGTTATGTTAGTTTTAGTGCTTGGAGTACATATTTCACACAGATGAAAATTGATTGCTGAGAAGCACTCTGTTTACAATTCTTTAGCAAAGTGTACATTATTTGTTTTCACATCAGTGCTTAAAGCTTCTCCAACAATAAGTACCATAAAAGCTGTCATAAAATCTGTCATTCAAACAATGAGCTAATGCATTTGACGGACATTATAATATCCGAGTACAGTGCTTGTGCAAATGATGAAGTACATTTGTTTACACATTTAGGGGGTTATTCACTAAAGAGCTAAAGGATTTAGCCGAAGGTTCGCCTAATCTTTGTCTCACTTTTGCTGCAGGAACCCTTTGGTTCAGGCGAGCCGAAGGTCTGCTGTTTGTGCTATTCACAATAGTCTGTACAGCAGCGGAAGCACACAGCCGAGCTGAAAGCATATGCTTCGGCTAGGCACAGCGGAAGAAGCAGCCGGAGCAGGGAGAACGGTCTGAAGCAGACCGAATCCCCTCTAGTTATTAAAAAAATAGATAAAAGAAAACAGTGTAGGGTTCCCCTCCAAATTCATACCAGACCCTTAAAGTTGGATGCACAATGCTAGTTTATAGGGAGTCAGATGTTAGTGGAACTGTGTCCATTTACATCCGATTACCTACATGTCCATCTAGGTCCACAAATTGAAAAAAAAAATGAAACAAAGTTCTATCTATTTTGGTGGACCTGTTCGTGATGGTTCAGTGAACACATGTCTGCTTACATCTGACTCCCAATAGGCCTAACATGGGTCTGTACAGCTCAGTTTTTTCCTCCACGCAAGATAGAAGACAAAACAAAATGGACATGGATGTCACAAGAGTGACATTCATTCCATTCTACTCTGATCAGCAGGGGATCTGTGAATGGGTGCCCTGCTGATTGGAAAGGATGGTTGTCACAGTTCAGCTGCAGACTTGCAGCTAAGCTGTTACTTGTAGTTCTACAAGTATATGCAGACCTCTTACCCCTGGTTTTGAAGGCATCCAGGGCTGTGCTGTTGCTTGTAGTTCCCCAGGCAAATACTCTATACCTGACTCGCTCTTGCACCAGTCTAGCAGCTTTAGGCTTCGGCCGACCTCTCGTGCTGTTTCTTATGCAGCTCCTTGGCCAATCAGTGCAGTCTGCTTGTGGCCAATCCTGTGGATCCTCCCTCTTGCTCTCTCTATTTAAACCCAGGGCAGTGCACGGCATGCTGCCCGAGCAACACTTTCACAAAGCTAGATGCCGTGACCCACGGTTGTGGATGAACCTGCATTCCTTGAAGTTTGGCCGTGTACCGACCTTTGGCTTGTCCCTGGGGCCAGCACACAGCCAAGCCCATCTCCACCATCCGGAGCCCTGGCCGAACACTGGCTGGCCCTTAGATTCCCCATCCTTGGGGACCCCATGCTACCTACCTAGCATTGCAGCACTCTGCCCTGTACCTTGATCTACCAGCCTATTCTGTCTCCCACCACCTCCTTCAGTTCCCCTGCTCTGTTCCCTGCTTGCCCTCCAGCTGTGTGATTTGTCAGCCTACACTGATTGCACCCTTTTCTCTAAGTATCCCTGCCAGTGTAGTAGATAGGGTCCACAGACCTGACTCCAGTTCATACCTGTGAGCCCCGATCCGTGACAATGGCGCCCATGTGAAAGGGGCCTTAAACAGTTTATCTGAATGAATACCTTTAAGATGCATTCATAGTTGTGCCAACAGTTCAAAATACAAGCAAACAAGCTGAGAGGATGAAAAGGAGTATAAAAACTGTATAACCATATTTTAAAAATAAAATATGATTTCCATTGCCTTATGTTGTTGCCAGCAATGGATAGTAGAAAATAGTGACCAACAGTGACTGGAAAAAAGAGAGCATTTTCAATGAAATGTTCTGAAAAATGTTACAGATGACTCCTGTAATAATTTCAGGTGTTGTACTATCAGGGAATATTCTGTGTGCTCTTTTAAGCCTTTTAAGGACTGCTTCTGTGTTTTATCTACAATATGTCTGGTGATAGCTTTTATTGCAAAGGCTCACTGTGGTTATTATGTGAATGTTTCACACATGTGAAAGTTAATGATACTTTCATTCTTTTATGCGGCTCTCAATGCAGAAGGCTTTTTGAGTGAGGATTATCTGCAATGAAACATATCTACATTTGTGACACTGGTGTTATGTCAGTGAGGGATATTAAAGGACTACATGTTTAAATTATTTTTGTCCACAAATTCCTGCAAGCAGGGCTAATTGTTTTCATTTTATATCCTGTGAGCTACTCTAGAGGAACACAAATGCTCTTCAGATATGTTTGATACCATGTAGAACGTTACTATTCCAAATATAAAACTTGAACTCTTGCTATTTAGGTTTAAAGCCAAAAGTGTAGAATTATGTTCTTCACCAAGGAATAACATTCAATTTAATTGGAAATCTGATAAACTCTGTTGAATATACAGCAACAATGGTAAGGTGTGATAAATACATAACAGAAGCAAACATAAACAAGCTCTTCTTTGTATAGATGCAACACACAAAAGGAATGGTATGCTAATGCATGGTCCATAGTAACACAAATGTGTACGGGGTTAAACACACTTCTATTTATTTTTGTGTACATAATCATTAGCTCTATATGACTGTAAAAGATGCTGCCAAGGAATGTATAAGCAATACTGTATTATGCAAAGCAATTGGCTGACATAGTTGACCCTGACACTTCCGGAGTGTGAGATCTGGTGTTACTATGATGTGATTATAGGACAGATTTTTGGTACTTATACTATCAGTATTTAAAATACATTTCACTTTTTTATTGAATGCATAACTAGTTTGAACGTAAATTTTTGTCTTGAGTTAAGCTTTATCATTTTAAACTTACTGAAAGCCTAATGCAAACATATAATATCTTTGTTTACTAACTTGGCAAACAGTTCTTCTTAGATAAAATGCTCTTTTTGCTCCAAACCAATGTATGCTTTTTCAAATGTCTCCAAAACCATTACCCACATACATTCTACTTTTTCAGTGAGCACTTAAAGTAGATTTAAACCCTTACTGGATGACATTTAGTTTGATAACGAACTGTGTTATCATAAGCAATTGCCTTTTAAGTAAAATTCTGTTTTGACTTTTTTGCATCTCAATGCTACTTCTCTCCTTCAGTCTCTTTCAAGCACTTCCTGCTTGCATTCACTCACTCTAGTGTTGAATGCACATCATTGCTCTGGACCAGCTACCTAATAGTAGCCACAGTGAACCATGTCTGTGCAAGTAGTAGTTTTCCCAAGGGAAGACAGAGTGACAACACTATTTGGGAGGCAGTTGTCACCTCTTACCAAAAAGTGCCTGAACAAGATAATTCATACAGGATTACAAGGTATTCCTTTATTGAAAGCCCCATATCAAAAAAATATTAAAGATACATATTGGAATACCATTATTAGGGATGAGGTTTAGGTTTGCCACTTCCATGGGTTCGAGGCAAATCCTATTAACAAAAATTCTGGGCACCTCCCCCTGCCACCACAGTCGATGGTAGCTGCCGTATCTGTAGCCTCTCCCCCCCGCCTGGAGCCGCTCCAGGCTGGGATCTGTTTCTCCTTAGATCCCAGCTGCTCTCCCCCAACTGTATGGGCTGGGACAGCGGGGATCCGAGGAGAAATGGCCAGCGGGGGGGTGGAGGAGAGGCACAAGAACTAGATCTCCGGTGGCTCTGTGATTGTGTATGCAGAGCGGGTCAGTCGGGAGAGCGGGAGGATCAGTAAATATGTGTAATATTTACTGATCCTCTGTGCAGAGCAAACACTGGTGTGAGCAGGTGATGATTCCAATGTTTGTAAACAACGGGGGACAAATAGTACTGTATCCCCAGTTATGAATGAACAGGAAGTGATTTGCATCACTTCCTGTTCATTCATGAGTTTCTAAATGGGTAGAAACCTCGATATACAGGCTTCTACCCATTTATAAACTGGATGATAGTAAATGTTTTACTATCACCAGTTATGAATGGGAAGCCTCTGTACTTTGTGCTTTCCATTCATTTCCAAGTGTTGAAGCTGCAGAACAAGAAATTAAGGACTCTGTGTTCTCAATTTCATTTTCAATTTCAAAAGAGGAATGTCAGGAATCTGTTTAGACCTTTAATATTTCCACAAAGCTCCCCAACAGTAAAAAAAAAACTATAATAAATAAAAAATAAATACAAATAAAGCAAACCCCCCGCACACACACATAACATATACATGCACCATATTGCCATGCACGTGCACTGCGGTGCATTGTTAGAATGCACCACAGTGCTTGATTTTTTTCTAAATAACATTAAGTTAACAGTGGCAGCGCAAAGTAAAGCGTTGTGATGCGTTGACTTTCATTGTGATATGCTGTGTTGTGATTCAATGTATGCATGTATCATTTTATCACAACACACACACCAACACAGTGTGCAAATTATTTTGAACATATGTCCTGTGATAATTGTGCAAATGTTTATCAAATTAATATTAAACCGATAAAAATACACAATTCAATTGATGAAGCACATGTAATGGATCCTGGGGATGTCGCCATTCCGAGTCACGGAACAGTGTGGAAGCTCCGCCCCCATGCCAACGACGTCAGGCGAGACTTCCCCCGGCCTCGTCATAAGACACGACCGCACAACTATCTGGCTTTCCAGCAACCCCATGCGGACACCAGACGAGTGCTGGTCTCCCTGCCTGCAGTGCAAACCACTACACCCCTTCACAGCAGCAACCACCTGAGAGCTGAACCCCTGCTGACAACCCTCCTAGGGGCTCTCTGCGCTAGCGTGCCCAGGATCAATCCTACCTAACCATCAGGACTCCTAACCACAAGTATTCCCCTCTGGGTTGCTACCCACAGGGGATTTAGCTGACTGCAGTAGCTTATCTGGATTTCGTATATACTGTTGCATTGAAGATATGTGGAGCTAGCCCCCTGCTGGTGACTAAGATTATGTCTATAC